AGAGAGAGAGAGAGAGAGAGAGAGAGAGAGAGAGAGAGAGAGAAAGAGAGTGAGAGAGAGAGAGTTACTCAACCAGAATTCCTATACAATTCTATTTCTACAGCAGTATACCTTGCAACCAGCTTAAGCCACCGTTTAAGGAAGAAAATTACGGTGTGCTATAGAGGAAGGCCCTTTCAAGCAACACCAAGCGTGAACGATCACTCCGTGTAAGGCACACAGATGGTGTTGCTCAGTGTTTGAGAAATAGCGCTATCGTGCGAAACTTGTCGTAAATATAACAATAGCTTTGCGCGAGACATCACCTGCCAGCGCATGCGGAACTTTCTTCCCAACTTGCGACTACAGCCATTCTTTACCCACTACAGGGTTCCCGTGCAGAGATGTGTTTGTCAATAATTATGGCCAGGACACCGGCGAGTCAAATGCTCGGTGACATTTCGTCCGCGACATGATGCGCGCATAGAACTGTACCGAACACCTGTTTGTGGGCGCGACCGAAACAATGTGAACAATCGTTTACACCCGAAAATTACACAGGTTGACCACACGAAGTCACAAGTGAAACGCGTTAGCATATTTTAAGTATGCTAGCAGGTGAGGGGGTCTCCGGCGAGGTCACCACGCGAGCTCTATGTCGGCTAGCTGTTTGTTATCGTTCTGGGCCGTAAACATAAATAGGTTGACAGGTGCCGACCGGTGGCCGAACATGTCCTGCTTATCTTTTTGCTAAACACTAATTCTGTCATTGAGAAGTTAGTTTGGACTAGCAAAGAGATCCACTGATCCAATTGATGTATTTCAATCTGACTAGATGTCCGTGAGTGATGAATTCAATGCTCGATGAAGCTCAAGAGTGTGAACAACCTATAAAATTAATAAAGTGCTTGGCACGTACCTTGTCGTGGTGAATTACGGCATCTGCTCGTTGCTCCTCGATGTTATATCGATTGGCTGTCGACTCTATGCTCCAGGCTGTATTTGCCTTGTCACTAGCCGACCTGCACCGGTTACTCAGCGATGCAGCAACACGCTTGTCCTGGACGCTGAGTACGGCAGTGCTGACCACTACCTGCTCGCCGCTGTCCTCCGGACGTTGTCCGGTAGTCGTGTGATGACCACCTGCTACTTCACCCGCTAACGCGTCTTCACGAGCGTTCGCGTCTCTACCTGCGGTTGCTGACAGCTGATGCTGCTCACTGAGCGTTGTTGCTGTGAAGCCCTCGAGGTGTTGTTGTGATGCACGCAGCAGTGTCTCGTCTGCGCCGGCGGGCGGCGGCCGCGTGCTGCTGCTGCTCGCCACGTATTGATCCGGTGCAGATAGTCTGCGTCGCCGCCTGCTCTCGGCATCGCACCGCGGCTGCGTCACTCCTGTGGCAGACGCGTCATCGCTGCGCGTCTGCGTTATTCGTGCGGGAGACGCGTCATCGCGCCGCGTCTGCGTCATTTCTGCAACAGATACGTCATCGCACTGCGTCTGCGTCATTCTTGCGGCAGACGCATCATCGCACCGCATCTGCGTCATTCTTGCGGCAGACGCGTCATCGCATCGTGACGCCATCGGCCGACGATCAGCTCCATCTGTGAGCGCGCGGCTGCGGTAGAAGACGCTGTCACATGAATCCGTGCTCTCCGCACGCGTGCGTGCCGTAGTGCGACTCTCTCCAGCTACTGCTGCGTGCTCCCCTAACGACGCGCTCGCTTCCCTCCCGCTGCTGCTACGATGTTCCGTAACAGTGCTCGCTTCCTTCCCGCTGCTGCTACGATGTCCCGTAACAGTGGTCGCTTCCTTCCCGC